ATTCTATTCTATTCTATTCTATTCTATTCTATTCTATTCTATTCTATTCTATTCTATTCTCTTACTTGTAATAAGTAAATGTGAAGTTTACTTCTTACAAGTAAATATGAAGTTCTAGTACTGCTTTAAAAGCCTTAGTAAGTCCACACTTGGAATACTGCATCCAGTGCTGGTCACCACAACACAAAAAAGGATGTTAAGACTCTGGAAAGAGTGCAGAGAAAAGCAGTAAAAATGATTAGGGGTCTGGAGACTAAAACATATGGAACAACGGTTACAGGAATTGGGTATGCCAAGTCCAGTGAAAAGAAGAACTAGGTGGGACATGATAGTACTATTCCAATATTTGAGGGGCTCCTACAAAGATGAGGGGGTCAATCTTTTTTCCAAAGCACCAGAAGACAAGACTAGAAATAATAGTTTGAAACTAACCAAGGAGAGAAGCAAATTAGAAATAAGGAGAAATTCCCTGTCAATTAGAACAATTTGCCTCCAGAAGTTGAGGGTGCTCCAACACTGGTTTTTAAGAAAAGACTGGGCAACCATTTGCTGAAATGGTATAGGGTCTGCGGCTCTACCAGGAGGATGGACTAGAAGATCTTAGATGTCCCTTCCAACTCTTATTCTGTGTTCTAGGTGTGTTGTAAATCAAAGCACAAGATTCTACCTTCATATGTGTTTTCAGACATTTTATTTTATTCCCATAAAGAACCCAATGGACTGGAAGAGAGCTATCTGATAGTTAGCTTCACTTTTGGTAAATATATTTTATGACTGACCATGATAAACATTTTACAAATATACAATTCTCTCTTAATATCCATTTTGTGAGTACGTCTACAAGATCTCAAAGTTCCTAATATGCTTCTATTGTAGTCCAAAAATATTGTGACCAATTTTATTTTTTATTTTATTTATTTTGTCAAGTGATTATAAGATAACAGGTATAAGTATAAACATAGTTATGAATACATGAAATATAGTTTTGATGCTTTTCAGCTTTTCAGATTAGAACTAGTGGTTCTAAGCATTCATAGATAATACCCAGCAGGCCTTTTTGATGAATTAGTCTGTGAGATCAGAACAGTTCCTTCTCTGCTGGCATTTAGAAAGACAATCTACATTTTTAAGCCTTTGAGCTAATACTTTCATTGATTTGTCTACTGTTAGTTTTACTATTTGTTGCTATTTTCTACTGTGTGCTTTTTTTTTTTTTTACTTTTGATAACGTACATCATTCTGAATTTGATGAATTGTCTCCGCTGGTAGATAAAACAGTCTGAATTTTAAAGCTATTATTTGCAGTAGAACTCATCCCAAGCTAGAATTGCATAGCAATGCAAAATCATCACTGTATTGCTACATGACATAAGACTTAATGCATATATGTAGTCCTCAATGTATGACCAGAATTGGAGACTAGAATTTCTATTGCTTACCAAGATGCTTGTTAAGTGAGTCCAATATTTTTTGCCATGGCTATTAACCAAATTATTGCAGTTGTTAAGTGGATTGTGTGGTCATTTCCCCATTTGCTTGTTGGAAGCTGGCTGGGAAGATTGCAAATGATGCTCATATGACCACAGAATGCAGCAACTGTCATAAATACATATCAGTTTTCACGTGCCCAAATTTTAATAACATGACCCAGGAGGATACTCCTTCCTCCTCCTGTTTTTCCCACAGTAACAACCCTTTGAGTTGAGTTGGGCTGAGAGAAAGTGACTCACTCTTGGCTTAAGCCCAACTAATTTAATTAAGTACACCCAATCAGTTATCTGCTTTTCTAATAACTTTCCTTTATCGTTCTGCAGATTTCTATGACATCTGTGATGTGGTTGATTGTCAAGGTTCCTGTTTGGACACTGGAGATTGCATTTGTTCCTTGGGGACAATTATGGGACCAGATGGACAGACCTGTCTCGGTAAGAAGCCTCTACACAATATGTCTTACATATTGGCAAAAAAAAATAAATCAGAAAATAAAATACAAGCTGAATAGTCAAGACCTTGTTGATGACCCAAACTTTGTCAAGGACCTTGGAGTACTCATCTCTAATAATCTAAGTGCTAAAGCCCTCTGTAACTACATAGCCAAAAAGGCATTAAGAGTTGTAAACCTAACCCTGCATAGCTTTTTCTCTGGTCATATCACTCTACTAACTAGAGCATACAAAACATTTGCTAGACCAATACTTGAATACAGCTCATCAGTCTGGAACCCACATTACATATCTGATATTAATACAATTGAGAAAGTTCAGAAATATTTCACAAGAAAAGTTCTCCACTCTACTTGTAGCAGAATACTTTATGTCACCAGACTTGAAATTTTAGACCTAGACAACCTAGAACTACGCCGCCTTTCAGTTCAATCTAAGTATAGTACATAAAATTATACATTGCAATGTCCTACTTGTCAATGAATACTTCGGCTTCAACCACAACAGTACAAGAGCACACAATAGATACACGCACCAAACTTGATTGCAGGAAATACGACTTCAGCAACAGAGTGGTCAACGTCTGGAATACTCTACCTAACTCTGTGGTTTCTTCCCCAAACCCCAAAAACTTTAACCTTAGACTGTCTACTATTGACCTCACCCCTTTCCTAAGAGGTCTCTAGGGGGCGTGCATAAGCGCACCAACATGCCTACCATCCCTGTCCTATTGGTTTTTTTTTTCTTATTCGTATCCATTTCATGTTTCTACTTATACCCGTTGTCTAATAATTGCTTGACAAAAGAAAGAAGAAAGAAAGAAATAGAGAAATATGAGAACTGAAAGGAAAATACCAAGGCAGGGGAGAAATCTGAGGTTGGGAAAATTTAAAAAAATGCTTATGGATTGCTCCATTTTTCTTAAGTGACAAGGAAAAAAAGAGGAATATAAGTAATCATTATCACAGTGAAAAAGAACTAACTTTCGTTGTAAGTGCCATCTTCTCATCATTCCCACACATGCAAGCTGATCTCTGAAAAAATAAGTAGAACAGGAACCTAATTACATACTAATCCCGAATGAACTCATCTTCAGAAAATAATCTGGAGCTCTTCCAGCTGACGTGCACAAGCTTCAGTTTCACCTGATTTTTTTTTCTATTGGGTATTGGGTAGTTGATCACATTTCTTCTGCATGCTCTAAAACAGGGGTATCAAACTCGATTTCATTGAAGGCCGCATCAGGATTGTATTTTACCTTGGAGGGCCAGAGTGGGCGTGGCCTGAGTGGGTGTGGTCAGCTCGACATCACTCGTGTCAGGGGTGCCTGTGGTGGCCCGAGCCCTCTGCCAGAGAAAACAGGCTCCTGAGCTCCGTTTTCGGCTGCAACGGCCTCCAGTAATTAACCCTCTGCCAATGAAAACAGAGCTCAAGAGGGCTGTGTGCAGCCCACCCGAGTTCTGTTTTTGCTGGCAGAGGCACCGCAGGCAAGTCTTTCGCCGTTTCCAGGGTGGCCCTGCGGGCCAGATCTAATCAGCCCGCGGGCTGGATCTGCCCCCCGGGCCTTGAGTTTGACACCCCTGCTCTAACGGAATAACAGAAGTGGAAGGAAACTTTGAGTTCTTCAAGTCCAACCCCCTGCACAAGCAGGAGATCCTATACCCGTGATGGCGAACCTATTTGCCATTTGTGCGGGCACACAAGCCCCAGGCAAACTTACCACACTGCGCATGTGCATGCCTCCCAGCTGATTTTCAGGCCTTTTTCAACCTCCCAGAGGCTCGTGGGAAGCCTCTGCAGCCTTTGTGGCTGAAAAACAGGCCCGTTTAGTCACTTCTCGTATTTCCAGAAATACATTTTCCGGAAATACTGGAAGTGATGAAACAGCTCCATTTTTCAGCCTCCAAAGGCTGCAGAGGCTTCCCACGAGCCTCTGGGAAGCCGAAAAAGGCCCGAAAATCAACTGGAAGGCGCGCACATGTGCAGTGCAGTTACGGGGGCGGGGGAGAGGATAGCACGCGCATGTGCAGGAGCATGGGGGGGCATTGCCTTCTGGGCACTGGCACACGGGCATGCGCACACAAGCACGCACACAATTTTGGTCACAGGAGCCCAAAAAGATTAGCCACCACTGCCCTATACCATTCTAGGCTGCTTCTCTCCTTAGTTAATTTGCTTCTTGTCCTGTCTTCTGGTGCTTCAGGAAATAGATTGACCTCTTCTTCTTTGTGGCAGCCCTTCAAATATTGGAACATTGCTATCATGTCACCACTAGACTAGACATGCCCAATTCCTGCATCAGTTTTAACCTTTAGCCCCCAATCATCTTTGTTGCTCTTTTCTGCACTCTTTCCAGAGACTCAATTTCTTTTTTATACAGCAATATGGTGACTAAAACTGCATGCAGTATTCTGGTATTCTTGGTGTAAAATGGTAGCCAATGATCCCAGACTACTCTGGGAAACTATGTCATAACTGTAGGCTTTACAATGAAAAAATAAATAAGTAAATCTGCAGATTCTAGAAAGAGTGTTGAGAAGAACATCAAAGAGGATTAGGGGTCTGGAAGCTAAAACATGAAGAGCAGTCAGAGAATTGGGTATATCTATAGTGAAAAGAAGGACTAAGGCTGACATGATAGGAGTCTTCCGATATTTGAGGGGCTATCACAAAAAAAGGAAAATCAAGCTATTTTCCAAAGCACCTGAAGGCAGGACAAGAAGCAATGGATGGAAACTAAGCAAAGAGAGAGAACCAACCTAAAACTAAGAAGAGATTTCTTGGCAGTTAAAACAATTAACTGGTGAAAAGGCTTACCTTCAGAAGTTTGGGGATGGTCCATTACTGGACCAGAAGACTTCCAAGGTCCCTTCCAACTGTGTTATTCTGTTATTCTCTTCAAAGCAGTATCCCAATGTATTTAACCAAAGCAAGACATTAATACAAAGAAAGTTAATAAAAAGTCAGCTCCAGGTAAGGGGGGAAAAGTTAAATTCAGTCTAAGCTTTGTTTTAATTAGATTTTTGGTTTTGACAGCTGTGCCAATACTTTTAATTTGCTGAAGTTGGAGAAAGGACAGTAATCTCCAATGCAATACCGCTTGGTGATCTAATCAATTACCACAAGTCAGAAAGCAGCTGCATCACTATTAGGCTTTAAATTATGTTTCAGAATAATCAGGCTCATGAAAGATTATGTATGAAATGTGTGAAGAGCATTCAGATGAGATGCTTCATAAAGCATGAATTTCACCTTTACGAACAAATATTCTGCTTTTATATATATTCCCCCACCCACCCAGAAGCAAAAAAAGTGAAAGTCCATTAGAAGTTTCCTTTGATTATTTGATTTGTTTCACTCCATCAAAGTCTGATTCTTTTTCATGCATTCTGAATCCCTCACACAATACACACACACACACACACACACACACACACACCTGCTGTGCCCCCAAAGCCATGCCCACCTCCTGCTCAGTACTGTGGTGCAGATAAGAAGGAACTCTTAATGACTGCATTCACACACATCATCTTAAGTCAGAAAAAACCTAGCAGATTAGAGAATGGCAAGGAAAATGATGCAAGAACTTGAGGATGTGCCCTGTCCGGATAGTCTGAAAGAATCCAAGAAGTTCAAGCTGAAGAAAAGAATATTAACAGATTAACAGAGTTGGAAGGGACCTTGTAGATCATCTAGTCCACACACACACACCCATCCAAGCAGGAGAGCCTACACCATTTCTGACAGATGGCAGTCCAGCCTCTTCTTGAAAGCTTCCGGTGAAGAAGGTCTCACAACTTCTGAAGGCAAACTGTTCCATTGGTTGATTGTTCTCACTGTCAGAAAGTTTCTCCTTATTTCCAGGTTGAATCTCTCCTTGTTCAGTTTCCATCCATTATTCCTTGTCTGGCCTTCGGGTGCTTTGGAAAATAGCTTGACCCCTTCCTCTCTGTGGCAGCCCCTCAAATATTGGAAGACCTCTATCATGTCTCCCCTGGTCCTTCTCTTCAGTAGATTAGCCATGCTCAGTTCCTGCAAGGCTTCTTCATATGTTTTAGTCTCCAGTCCCCTAATAAGCCTTTGTTGCTCTTCTCTGCCACTTCTCTGAAAATTTAGGCCATCAGCTATTATTAATGGCCACAGAAAACAGAAAGCAAAATAATAGGACATATAAGTTTCAGCTGTCTAGATTTTGTTCAAAGATAAGACAAAGCTTTCTGATAGTAAAATTGTTACAACAATAGGAAAGTCTACCAACAGGTGCTCTGGGTTCTCCAATACTGAAGGTTTTTAAGAAGAGGCTGGACAACCACCATTCATGGGTGGTCTAATTGGCCTTCCATGCACATTTTGGAGATTGCAATGAGATGAGCCTTGTGGTTCCTCTCAACTCTACAACTCAATGATTTTACAAGCTGTATTCATGCAACATACAGTACTAAGTTACATTCATGTTCACCTTGAATATTTAACATGCTATGTGAATTCATCCTTTATCAGGGTTACTAGATATCTGGCCAGGCAAAGGAGAGCACAGACAATTAGAAAGGAGGACAAATTTAAGGTGGAGGAAAGGAAGACACACTAACTTTCTTGGCCTCCTGGACAAAATTTTACAGTGAAAAACAAGCCAAAAATGTTCTGAGGCTCACATGTACATGAAATTACTTTTTCCAGTATCAGAAATACTGTTTTTCACCTGCAACATTTTCCCAACAAATCTTAATTTTCAAGAACATATGCTAGTGATAATGCAGAATCAACAACCACATGTTTTTCCAATTTCACCATAGAAACGTATGAGTCATGGGATGTTCAGATGCCAGTGATCATAGATTCGAAGGGGCTGGATCGAAACTGATTGCTGGAATCAGGAAATAAACTAAACGTAAATCTTGTCTGTGGAGTCTATCGATGGACGAGAGGCAGAAAATAGACAATTTACACGATCATATTACACGAAAATTTGGATTATTACTGTT